CTCCCCCCAAAAAAGAGGGGGGAATCCGATTCTATAATGCAGAGGGTGAAAGCATTATGTGAAGAAGGGAATGTTAACGATTCGCGTCCAATAGCAATGGAAAAAATGGCTTCCTGAAACTTGATTTCGTTATTGATCCTCAATAAGTTGCAATAAGCATTTCGTTGTCATGCAATTCGATACTGAATGTGTATGGAGTATGTAATAGCTTCGGTCCACCGTAGTGACTCGCCGAATAATAGCAACTGGAGTTGCAAGTTGAACATAATATAATGCTAATCTGCGGCCGGGATACATGACTCCGGAAGTAATTTATAAATATGATATCGGGATTGGATCAATGGACACAGCAGATTTGATGCACCCCCATGCGATGCTTTATGATACTAGCGTGGGGTAGAAGAGCAATTGATGGGTCTCCATCATTTGCCCCCACAATCGACCAACACGTACCGAGAATTCATCCCAGCTTTTTGACCCGAAGAATGGGGATATGATGGGGGTTCCTGCGCGGTCCTTATTTAAATGGTCCTGCATTCCCGCCACCCGATCTACCGTCATCTCTTGCAACCCTGGTTTCGGCATTAATACGGCTGTGGATGTCGGAGATTGTCCGGGATTGTTCGGTATTGATTGTGTCCCGCATTTGATGTGATACCGGGCAGGATTATTTAATCTCACAACAGTTCGTCTTTCTCCAGGTTATTTTTACCATCCGTAAAAGCGAAGATAATTAGGCAAAGGTAATCACACAAGAAGACATATAGCCATATTGAGATTCCAGTAAAGAGAATCGCAGAACGAAAGTGGCTAATGGCCTTCTAGCCCGCGATCTAGTACCGACTCCTTATAAATAATATACGATCGAGTGTCGCATTGTCCCAGATTCTCTCCCGACCATGTCGTGTCAGTCACGCACCTCGTGTGAGGGCTGCTCCTGCAGTGACGGGGGCAGCCGACCACCAGTGAACATTGAGGACTGTGAGAGTGAACTGCTTGCCCTTCGAAGGCGCACAGTGGAGCTTGAGAAAACTCTGGCATCAATGCAGGATGGCCGGCCAAATGCTAATGCAAGGGCCCGGAAGTTACGGTCGGCCAACTGGTTTAATTGTGAGAGCGACCCAGGCATGATGGCCCTCTACATTGAGCGGTACCTCAACTATGGCATCACCCGGGAAGAACTGATGTCCGGTAAACCAATAATAGGAATAGCACAGTCCGGGTCCGACTTGTCTCCATGCAATCGCCATCACCTAGAGCTGGTGAAACGGGTCCGAGAAGGCATTAGGTCCGCCGGAGGGATCGCTTTCGAGTTCCCCACGCATCCTATTCAAGAGAGTAGCAGGAGACCCACCGCCTGTATCGACCGAAATCTGTCGTATCTGGGTCTGGTAGAGATTCTCTTCGGATATCCCCTGGACGGTGTAGTGCTCCTGACGGGCTGCGACAAGACTACTCCCGCCGCTCTAATGGCCGCAGCTACAGTGGTGCGTGATTCCCCGTATCTCCGCTCATTTGCTCATATAATTGACGTTTGTTGGAAGAATATCCCAGCAATATGCTTGAATGTCGGCCCAATGCTTAACGGTTACGTGAAGAACGACCTGGCGGGGTCCGGCATGGTAGTGTGGAAGGGTAGAGAGATGTATGCGGCAGGTGAGATCAACAAGGAGGAATTCATTGACTATGTGTCCAGAGGGTATGTCCATCAGTAACTATGGAAGCCCATTCACTGACGATGTAAAAGTGCACCATCAGTGGGACATTGTAACACGATGGGAACAGCATCAACTATGAATGCATTGGCAGAAGCGCTTGGAATGGCACTACCTGGATCAGCTGCCATACCGGCTCCGTATCGTGAGCGTGGTCAATGTGCTTACGAAACAGGTTTGCGTATTGTTGAAATGGTTCATTCCGATCGGAAGCCCAGCGATATTATGACTCGGGAGGCTTTCGAGAACGTCATTGTAGTTAATACTGCTATTGGCGGCAGTACTAATGCCCCCATTCATATCAACGCCATCGCCAAACATATTGGGGTAGAAGTTTCACTAGATGATTGGGACCGACTCGGATTTCATATTCCACTACTGCTGAACATGCAACCCGCCGGTGAGCTCTTGGGAGAGGAATACTATCGGGCGGGTGGGCTACCCGCGATTATGGCGGAGTTGCTAGACGCCAGGAAGCTGAACCCGGATGCTTTAACATGCAATGGTTACACAGTAGCCGAGAATGTCCGGGACAAACATACTTGGGACCGTCGAATGATCAAGCCGTATAACGAGCCGCTTCTGGAAGATGCAGGTTTTCTCCATCTTCGAGGCAGTCTGTTCCAGTCTGCCATCATGAAGACATGTGTTATATCGGAGCCTTTCCGACAAAAGTTCTTGGAGAATCCCAAGGACCCAAATGCCTTTGAAGGTACAGTTGTAGTATTTGATGGACCGGAGGATTATCATCACCGACTTGAGGACCCTTCCACCCCCATCGACGACAGAAGTATCCTGGTGATGCGCGGTGCCGGCCCATTGGGATACCCAGGTGCCGCCGAGGTTGTCAACATGCACCCACCTGGACGGCTCTTACGTCAAGGGGTCAAATCGCTTCCGTGCATTGGAGACGGGCGACAATCGGGAACTTCCGGCTCGCCATCCATCCTGAATGCTAGTCCCGAGGCAGCAGCGGGTGGGAATTTAGCCCTTCTTCAAGATGGGGACAGACTCCGTGTTGATCTAAACAAACGGCGCGTTGACATCCTTGTTTCCACGGAGGAGCTGGGCAAGCGGAGAAAGACACTAGAAGCCCACGGGGGCTATGATGTGCCGGAAAGTCAAACTCCATGGCAGGAACTGTTCAGGAGGGAAACGACACAGTTGAGTGATGGTATGGTCCTCCGAGACGCGGTAAAATACCAACGACTCGCCCAGCGATATGAGAACCCCCGGCACAATCATTGAAAGATGAATCTAGATACCACCGATGTAAGGAGCTGTAATGATTTGAAATACCCATAACAAGGCTCTTTCCCAATTTTTCGGCTGTCCCGGAGGTGTGTTCTCCGTATAGAATTCCATTATTCGGTCGGGATTTCTCAGGACCGAACTGACAGTGGCATCAATCACAACTGATTCACGGAGAAATTCGACCTTACCCGAGAGCCCGTTACAGTACTGTACAATAGTCTGTAGTGGCTACTTCAATACTCCGTAGACTTGGTAGAGTCAGGCCATTTAGAAACAGACAGATTTGCCTAGTAACGGTGGCACGGACTCAATCTCAGGAGAGAGTCATACCGGAAGGGGAAGGTTAGAGACGTTGAGGTCGGAGAGTGAGAGAGTACTAGCAGTAACTTAGAGAGTTGGTTAGTGTTCCAGTTTAGTAGCCGTACAGGAGAAGTGCCAGTCATGGGATTAGACCCCCTCCCTTTGACTTCCCCTCTTGACATGCCATCTTCATGAACAATAACATTCGCTACTACTACTACTACTACTACTACTACTCCTACCAGCCTTTTCACCTGCTTGTTTATTGGCTGGCTTATTTCTGTGAGACCACCTTAACCACCCCTACCTACGGAAACGAGAGTGTTGAACCTACTCCGTAGTGGCAGCGACATCCTGCAGTTTTCGAGTAGGCAGACATGTTTCGCCAGCGCTCTTCATGCTAATTAAGTCTTGGAATATCAGTCCCACAATGATGGAGATAACCACAGTTATTCCGGTCAGAGTTCGCAGAATTGCCAAGGCCCTAATAGCGGTGACTATTTTGCGTTTCTTGTTTCCCGAATCCCCAAGTTATGGCCATGGCCCATATCTCGTCACTTCCAACAAATGGCTAATGAAAGAATTTGACTAGGACTAGAATCCTGGCGAGTGAACCGAGCGCCCTGAGTTTGAGTTACCAGCCAATCCCACCAATTCAGAGCTAGATAACACGCACATGGCTGGGGGTTTTGACCTGGTCTACTCCGTACACCATCTACGAATCCACCCGATACCTACAACAAAGCCGCCCAGAGAACTAAAACAAAGAGTATAATGAGACGGGGAAAGAAAGCAAGAAAGCAAGAAAGCAAGAAAAGTTTGATAGCTTACCAATGAATAAAGCCAAGAACGGGTTTCTGAAGATGGCGGTGGTCTCGAACCATATCCACCCGGAAACCAAGCCAGGTGGACGCGACATCACCAGTTTCTCGACTGTCTGGCGCCGATCATGTAATTGTTAGCAATATTGTCGACTGCCAAGCAATTGAGTCATGAAATGAAAAAACACAACTGAGACCAATGGCGGAGCCTATGACAATTGAAGTAAATGATATTCGACATTTCACCACACACACACCATTAAAAATTTATAAAAATATCCTCCGGGTGTGGACCGGTGGGTCTCGGGTTACCCGCGCGCAGAGTTTTGAGTTTGCCGTTGCAGCCTTGCAAAGAGTTACAACTAAGAATTTACTCCTACGGAGTACCACCGATGGACCCGCGTACTTGCTTAGGGTCTAGCCTGCAATATCAGAAAATTTTTTCTAGCCACAGCTGATCTCAGACCGCCCCTGGTTGTCAGGCACCCACATCCCACTTTCCCACCATCATTTTTAAAGCTGGACCTTGTGATCTTCCCGGCGTGTTCCTTGTAGTTCCCTACACAACGAATTCCTTCTAACATGCTGCTTCCTCTTATCGTCCACTTAGATGCAAGCCTGCTACCATGCGCTCCCTCTAAGCAATAAGAACCAACAGCTTCTGTGTGCACCGTGCAGCTCCCACCGCCGCACCCTATAGTTGTGTATCCCGGCCTCTTGCATCATCCTTGACCTATCTGTCTCCTTTCAAAGACACCTGTCTCATCAAACGACCATCGCACTTTCCCGAAATCACCCTGTGCAACTCCGCATAGGCCTAGCTCATCGCGGGACGCATATATAGTGCACACCGCATCGTTACGTGTCTCGCGGCTCATCTTCCTGTTCTGTGGGAACCATCCAACTGTACCTTTATCAATAATCCCGACGGATTAACGCCACTGCGCTCGAAGGAGCTATAACCGATTTTCTATCGGGCCTAACAACCGCTTCACTTTAAAATATCCTTTCAACTCGAGTTGTTTTACTTGTGTTTGTCAAGATGGACGTCGACATATAAACCATTCGTCTTCTCGTTCTTTTTTGATCGCAACGCTTTCCATTTTCCCGCAATTAAGCGTTTCAGTTTTGTGTGTTTTTCAGCTATCTTGCCTCTTCAACCCTCGCCGATCCAGGTGAAATCACCCGTCATACAACATCGTCAACGAGCATCTTACATCATTATTACGACCCATCATGGCGCCCAACCTTTTCCTCTGCCTCCGAACTGTCTTCTGCCCCACGTACTGGTTTCAACGTGGAGAGCGCATCCAAGGGTCCATCCATAAAGAAGAACACTGGGAATCTCCTGTCCCAGGCATCTACAAATACATCCCAGGTCGTGGATGGCACCTAGTTTACAAAGATGGCAATGAGTACGAAGAAAAAGTTCCTGTCCCACTTGTTTACTGCCGCATCCTCCACCGATACATGTTCGAGTATGAACTGGAGGACAGATGCCGCTGGCATTCGGTAACCGTCCATGAAGGTGCTAAGCCGGAAAGATACCTCTTCTTTCGTCTTGATGATGGAGACACCTGGGTTGCCGGATGGGATGCCAAGGGAAAATTCATTCCGGGACCCTATCAAAAATGGTATTACGACTCGGAATCGCAAACCATGCGCCGAGTACTGTTCCCTGACAGCACGAATGTTTCCCGTGCCAGCATCGTCCCAAGCAAGCTGGGCTGATTGCGGCTTGATGAATAACCCATCCCGATGGTTAGTGCCCTGACAGTTCTGGGCCTCTTTACAGGGTTTCTCACCATCCAACCATGATGGATTCTGTTCTGCAGCTGGCTCCTGCAGAACATTGACTGGCAGGCTAAGAAAGGCAATTTCTATTCTTGAATTGTTGAAAGCGAGCGTACAAGCGATTCATTATTTCTACTTTTGTTATACCTATGAACTTGCTTGATGGCTCGACTGTTACGACTATTTGTTTTACACAGCGATGGTGTTTTGGTTATAAAAAAGTTAGATAGACTTACTTTTTTCCTTATTGTTATGCGACATGTGTGGTTACATGTCATCACGATAGATATTGGCCTTGATGATTCTTTCGGTTAGAACGTGGTTCAAGGACAACAGACTTGGACAGGAGTTTAATAGTGGTTTGATAGACATTGATACAATATGACAGTGGAGTACAATACTACTCAATTACTATTCATTTTCTGTGTGTATGTTGAATTTTAGGCGGAACCAACCCTAAAGATACGTATCATCTGCAGCAAGAAGTGGGTACCCTTTAGTTGCAGCAGCAGTGTTCGATTGGATATGCATGGTACCATCCATCACTTGCAGGTGAGGACCTTTTTGCGGACCATGTGATTGGTAAATGCTCACGGTGTTTTCCATGCAAGGGCTTCCCGGGTAAGTACGTAGTACTAGTAGTAGGATATGGCTTATCTCGTCGACAAGATTCGACGCGATGTTGATACACTCGTTCCCAGCATTTGTCCATGAGGTATAATTAGGAATATTAATTGTATGGGACATTTCTATTTCGGTTACTCTATCCTATCGGATCACGAATATATCAGTAGTAGAAAGAGGCGGTCAAGGTATTTCCACATCAGCCACATAATCTTCCCAAAACAACTGTACGAGAGAGCAGCCCAAATCTAAACCCTAAAACAGATCTCACAAGAAAAGCAAAAAAAAAAAAAAA